CTGTAAGTTAATACAACTTCTAAAGAGATTTAAAGTAAAAATGTCAGCATCAAACAACCTCTAATACTGCACAACACTACTTTACTTAAAGAACATAAGGAATATAGGCTATAGCAAACCTGTGGCAGGCTGCACTGCATTTATCCCTAAGGATATTCCTAAGAATACAACATACAATTAGTTGTCAGCAACTTTCTGGTACAAAACCAAAAAACTTCATTAAAAACATCAGCTCCAAACATATATGGGGTGACCTTCAAGAGAATGTACACACAGTTGGGAAAAACAGATACAAATGCAGGATCCAAAGGAATCTAAATTAAAAGTTTTTGTGCATGTGATGGGAAGACATTTATTAAAACTAGGAGAATACATCTACTCTGGCTACAGCTGAACTAAATTAATACTTGGCTGCCCCCTCAAATGTGCTGGAATACATGCATGCCTGGTTACTCCTTCAATTAGGTCTGTAAAACCAGCACACAACAGCTGTAGTAATAAACTTCCACTACTCTGCAATGCCATTATCACCTCTAAGGAAGTTTCCTGATAAGATTAAAAGAGGTGTCGAATACACCTTACCAAATTTCCAGAAGTCATCTCTGCCTTCATCCACAGTTCAGAAACAATTTCCTAACACAGGCTGAAGCAACTGTTCAGACCATTGTCACTCCAAAGAGGAATATGAATGAAAAGAATTTTTTTTTCACCCTCCCCATTTCTACACTGTGAAAGAAGTGGAAAGAAACATACCATGCTGATGGCCAGTTCTCAAGAAGCTGCAAGGAAAAGATGGCAGTCACTCTCAGTTTTTAAACTGACGTGACTTTTAAGCTGGAAAGCACAATTAATAGCCCCATTTAGCTTAAAAAAAATGGAAGTCCCCATGCTACTCTTTGTATCCCAGCAAGAACAGCAGTCAAAGTCGGAAGCATAATATTCCTCCTGCCCTTGAACAATCTTCAAACTACTGCTTAAAATAAAGTCTTATGAACAGAAGAAAAATCTATAGTAAGCCTGACTCTAATCACTGTCCTTACAAATTATTTACCAGATACTTGGAGCATTTATAAAATATGCTTGAGGTAGAAGGAACTTTTCTGGAAAATCACTTCAAGTCTCATATGACCAATAGCTGCTACAAAATAGCACTTGTATGCTTCTCACTTTCCTTCCCATCAATCAATGATTTTAGAATAGCTACTATTTTGAGACAAACCCACCAATTTTTTTCCAGGTGCCATCACAGCATAGGAAGCAAATTGTAGGTCATGTAGTCAGCCTAGCTTCCAGAAAGATTATCATGAAGAATTTGGATCATGGTTACTGAACTAGAGCAGGAAATCCTGCTCTTACTTTCACCACTGAAATGCTCTGCAACAGATCTGGTACAAAAAAGTTTACAAGTTGAAGCAAAATCATTCTACAAAGTCCTAATTAAAAATGAAAGGTTCATGATTATGCTTGTCATGAAGTGTAACAGTAACCTTCATGCCAGTTGTTTATGTGTCACCAAAAAATGGTTTAAAATACAGTAAAATGCTTTACAGGGAGCAGCACAAATGGTAAGAGAAAAGTCAAGATGCAATTGTCACTGGCACATAGCAAGCAAAGAGAATAACTCTGAATTTCTTTTGAATTCCCTTGTTTTCTTATAATTAAGATTTCAAGACCTCACATAGTTCATTACATTAGCCAACCTATCTGCAACTCTAAGAGAACAGAAACTTCACTCAACCCTGGAAGCAAAGCTACTTCCTAAGAGCACCCTGAAATGTATTAAGGACCTAAAGAAAACAAAAGATTCCTACAAGGAATCTTTTACTGCCACTATGTACTTTTGTACTCATTCTATAGACATAAAAATGACTTCAGCCTCCAGGCTTGAAAGAACATAATTTCTAATATGTTCCCTTTCTAAACCTATAGTTTAATAATGTTTCTTGTAGTGTCTTACAGGCAGATATGACCAACACATTCTGAAATGAAAAGCTGGTGTGTAAGAATTGTGTTGAACAAAATTGAAAGCTCTCATATCTGCCAGTAAAAGATTCCTAGAAAAACCCACCCCAAAACTTAAAAAAAAAAGCCTATCTGAACACAAAAGAGTGGGATTTTACTATTTTTTTTAAAATTGCTACATTTTTCTCCCACATTGCAAGGCTTCAGACAAGGTGGTGAGGGGAGAGAAATTAGATGATCTTACCCAGAGGCAAGCATCATGCACAGTAACTTGGAAAAAAAACAGGAAAAAATATTACACAAGTCAGCTGGCTCAGCAAGGATTAAGAAATACCTTGATAAACAGCAAATGATATGAAAGGCAAAGCTTTTGGCTCCAGCTCAGAAAAGTAATTACTCCCAGCTGGGCACACAGAACTCCAAGGAGGGCTACAGTTTCACAAGAAGGGCACAGTCTTTCCTTCATAGTTATGTTGGTAGATATATGCCAAGTAACATTTAGGCCAATGGCTAAAAGTAAACAAGACTATGAACAATGTTCTAGTGGGGTACAGGTTACCTGTCCTTCCCAGGAATGCATGAAGTTGATGAAAACAGAGAAAAAAATTTTAAAAAGTGGTCATGCTACTCTGAAATCATACTACTGCAGATAGGCCTTTATAGAGCATTAAATTTCTTTTTTTCACACATATATATACTTGGCTAAATAGTCAATCAACAGAGCTTTACAAGAGTTTTCTTCAACCCCTGACATTTGAAAGGAATTGCCAAACTTTGAAAAATATGAAGCAAATTTTGCATTCAAAAATTGCTGCAGAGCAAGAAAATTCTCTCACCCATTCTCAAAATACAGTCAAGTCTCATGTCACAGCACAAGGCTTGAGTAAAAAAAGGTTTGCTTTCACTGGTAAAACTTTCTTCTGCTATTTTTCCTGCTGACTGCTTGTTTTATGTGGGTGGGGTAGTGTTTTTATTGTTCTGGACTGCCTTTTAATTGATGGCAGAGTGCCTGGATTTTGGGATTGGCATCTCTTCCATTGTTTTTGCTGAGATAAATAAATGTATCTTCCCCCTCCCCTTTTTTTAAAAATGAATACACTCTATACTCTTGACTGCTAAAAACAAACCCACAAAACAAACAAACAAACGCTTTTGGATGGCACAAACAATCTGCTGAAATCCTGCTGCAAGGAATTTACTACTGAAAAACCTCATCCAGGCTTCCTACCCTCTGAAACACTCTCAAAGACCAAGAAGCAGAGATACGGCAGTGGAGGCCAGCAGAACTGTTCAGTGGCTAAATATTTGTGTAACTCTGAGAAGGAGAACGAAGAGCAGATTTTGGCCTCAAACTCAAGCCTCAACAACTACCAGGAGGGAAGCTTGCTAAATGAGTAAGATATGTTCTCAAGAGAAAATAAGGCAGATTAGGAACAGCTTGAAAAGGAGTTATTGAAGAGTTTGGTTCAGTATTAAATTGAATGGAGAGTCACTGAAGCAAAGGCAACAAGGGAGAGAGGAAGGGGGGTGGTCTGTCTAGGCAGACATGCAATTAAAAAACCCAAGCAAAAACCCTGATCCTTACCTCAGCTTTTGTGCACAAGCAATGTGAAAGCAGCACCTACATTAATACTCAAACCCAACAGTAACCAGCCAGCATCTAAAGCATCTCCAGAGGTCTTGAATGGAAATATACTGTTACCCATGCTGCCAAAATAAAACTTTTTTTTTTAAGCATAGAAACATTTGCAATCTGTGTTTCCTGACCTAGTAATTCAAAAATTGCCCTGCTACAATGTGACACAAAACAAAGGTCCTAGTTCTTGTTCAGCTATTGATTCATTGCTGACTACAATAGTAATTGGCACTGCCATTGTTCCAATATTCTGCTATTCCAAGGGAGGAAAAACAAACAAACAAACCAAAAAAAGAACCACACACATGTACATTCCCCCCCACCCAAACAAGCAAGCTGGAATTATTTAAGGAGAAATAAAGTGTCAGCACCAAGTTAAATTGTTCTCATTATCCAAAGAATTTAAAAAATACTTCAATATTGCACTTGCATGAAAATTGTATGAGCACTCCATGCCAGGCAGTGTTTCAGCATGTTCCCAAAGTGCACACAAACAAAAAACATATGACAAACTGTTGTCTCCCAACTGATTAAAGTATTTCTTCCTGGCACAGAAAAGCACTTAGTTAACTGCAGTGTGTGTCTGCGCCAGCTGCAGTATTCCACCCACCACCAAGCACAGAGTTCAAACCTGAACACAAATACGCTTCAAGAACATGTAGCTTCTGAAATACGAGAGTGTGCCTGAGCAACTTGTTTTCAACCCTGAGCTACTTGGTGAGCTGAAAGAACTGATGAAGAGTTGGATGAGTCCAACTACACTGTGTCTCAAACACATTTGGAAAAAGGGGAATGTATTTCTTTCCAAAACATCCCAAAAGCAAGGAAGGCACACCAGCCCAACACACACAGAGAATCAGGGAAAGAAAAGCCTACATATAATGTTTAATACATCTCTATTTCTCTCTCTTCTGGTATTCACTTTGTATGGCAAATCCTTCCATTTCAGACACCATAATCACCCAAAGAAAGCAAGTTTGACATGACAAAACCACGGGGACACACAAGTAGTACAGTCTAATACATCATGTAAGGTGAACAGCCCCCAGCTCTTTAACAATTTCAAGCAGCTAACTATAATTGGCCAAATTCCAAATGTCACAATCCACCATAATCTAGCAGTTTGTTCCATGCCTGGTGCAAAATCCAAAGTTTCATAATCTTTTTTTAAACACACAGCTGAACCAAGTAATTTGCATAAAAGGCTTGATGTCTTAGCAGAAGAGCTTCCAGCATTTTGTACTTTGATAGTCAAAAGACAGGGAAAACAGGCTAAGAGCTACTTGTTCCCTTCCAGAAGTGTCAAAATATCCCAACCATTTGGGTCATAGGTTTATGAAAAGCAGGCACATTAACAGAGAAGGTACCTTTTAAGTGTTTTTTTCTCACAGATGAAGCTCACCTGTTTACTTTTTGTGGCCTTTCCAACTGGATTCTTGCCTCCTTTAGCCCCGTCCATGTTTCTTAGAACATCGATGAAATCTCTCTTTGAAACAGAAGACATCAGTTTAGCACGCTTCCTCTCAGAGCTCCCAACCTTCTTCACCTTCTCTTCCATTTTCTTCTGGTGCATCCTGACAGCATTGAATAATTGTACAACACCTCTGGGACAGGGAAAAAAACAACAAAGCAAATTTTTTAACTCAAGTTCCTTTCACAGAAATGAACCCCCTGCTAAAGGTAATCAATGCAGATGCTTCTAGCTCCCCAAAATGGTTACCTGGAATCTCAATTCGGTTAAGAAGTAACATTTACTACAACATAAAATACTTCCAATTTTTACACCTCCTTCATACTTATTGCTAGGAACCAGTAACAAACAAATCTACATAAAACTACTCAGACTCTGAAGTAAGCATGACTCTGGTAACATGGCACTGAGATCAGTTTCATTCTTGAGCAGGTTTCATCCTTGGGAGCATGCTATTTGTCCTAAAATCAGTTATTAAATTACTCAGGCAAGCTTCTTAATGGCAGCTGAACTTCACAGCCATGAATCTGGTGAATCCTCTGCAGAGAAGCAAAAAACTGGAACAGCAGAAACAACTGTTCTGTATTTTTAAGGCATAAAATTAACAAAATGAGGGGATACAACATAGCACTTCTGTTAAGCAAACATTAGATTCCCATCTAAATTTTTACTCTCTCATAAAGCTTCTGAAATCTTTTGTTGAACTTGATACTGTACAATGCAGACCCATCTATAAATCTCTCGGCTCCTGCTAGTCACTTCTTAAGAGTTCAATCTGATTGGAAACAGATCACCTGCACAGGCCTTTTCCTACTCTTCTTGATATACATATATTTAAGGAAAGCATTCAGGAAAACTTTTACCTTGTGGCAATTCTCTGAAGATTTCTTTCCTTCTCTCGGTCTTTGACAACATCTGGCTTCACTCGGCACATCATTTCCCATTCCCGCTTTTTATCGAGCTGCATTATAAATATTGTTATGTGACACAACATCGACATTTGAGAATGCAGCATGATCTGATAGAGTATATAGCAGGAGAAAAAAAAAGTATCTACAAAGCTCAGCTTGGTTGAAAGTAAGGGGAGCTCCAATATAGGGCTGGAAAACAGGTCTGAGCAAATCTCTTGCATTGACACAAGAGCCACGCTCAAATCTCAGAAAGTCACTGCTTCCAGTAACAAAAGTCTAAGAGAAAGATGCCTTCACACTGACTGCCTTGAGCAAGGGAATTCAAAGACAGCCTTCAAATCGCAGACTTCACAAGCTACTCAGAGAAATTTATACATAGTAAAATCCTGGGTCCATCAGGACAGGCATGTCACATTTTGCGTCTTGGGAATTTGACTTCCTCCTACAGAATTGGTCCCAGCATGGCTTTGTGACCAAAGTGATACTCAGCAAAGAGTGCAACAGGCAGACCTCTAACACAGGAAAAGCACCAAGTATCCACCAGACAACAAGTCATGTGTACAGTATTGGTTCTTGTCTAATTTTTGGAGGCTGTTTCAAAACCAAACTGATCTACTTTTCCATTACCAACAGACACAATACCACCAGCTTTGTTTCTGCTGCAATAGGAGACCACAGTATTTCATGACCTCTGCTTTAGGAGTAAGGTAGTGATATTTTTTTCTTCCCCTCTGAACAATTTAACAGTGTTTTAGGCCTGGTGAAGTTCCATTAAATCTGTTTTATGCAAGAAGTCTCTAATGGAATTTCAGAGTCCTTATCTTTATAATTCCAGGCAGACTACTATGAATTTCTCAGTTTATGACCAAGTTTTGGCCTTTGATCAAAAGAACTGCCCTATCCTACCTTCCATCAGCAAGAAATCAATGAAAGGCAAATTGCTTTCAAGTTTTACTAAAGTAAACAAGTCACTTTGGGGACCTGTGGCGCATCTCTGTTTTGCAGTATTCTTACATATTTACTGGCTCAGAACAGGTATTTAGGACAACCATAACTGTGAAGATGCTGTACTGAAGCTCTCTGTATTTAAAAGGCAAGCCATGGCCCAACTGCAGCATGTCCCAAACTGTCAGGTGAATAACCTGGTTATCCCACTGAAACAGAACGGGTAGGATGAGACATTAGAATTGTTAACGTATTTCTAGCCTGAAGGTAAATCAGTCAGAGCCTGGAATTAAAAGTTCCACTCAAGGCATAAACAAATTACTTGCCAACATGGCTTTGTTTTCTTCATACCAGCTCCAGAATCAGAAGCAATTTAGATCACTGACATGGTAATAAAAAACTCCAATCAGGAAAATGATTGAGGGGAGCAAACAAAAATGCACAACTGCATCATTGGCTACTGCAGTCTCAACCTAGAGGCCTTGATTTTGGAAGTCACAGCACAATATAAATTGAAGCAGTTTTCTTCTCTTTCTCCCTCTTACTTTTTGTGGTGGAGAACTATTTCAATTTGTAATGCCAACAAAGTGAATTTCACCCCAAATTAACAACACCAATTAGAAAAATCAAGCTTAAAGTAGCTGCTTTCACCCCTTCAAGAAAGAAAACGCCTTAAGCTGACAGACTGGAACACTCCTGCTGCCAAAGTTCAGCCTGCCTGACGACCCAGAAGAAGCAGTAAGGGAAAAAAAAACCTTACACAGCATGACTGAAAAGTAAAAAATTAAGCTACTCAAGATCACTGTGAAGGAGAGACTCCAAAACTGAGCCTCAGTAGAGATTTGGGACAGTGCTCTGAGACTGTCTTGCATGTAAGCCCATCTGACAGTTACTGCACATGGAATACTGCATCTTTTTCTCACCCTCATCTTCTTTTCTTGCCTTTCTTGTTTTTTTCTCTCTCTCTCTTTCTCCAGGCTTTTATTCTTGGCCAAGATGGTGGACTTATTCTGTGGAATCTTTTTGTTGAGCACTTTTGCCATGGCATCTGCCCATCCTGAACTTGGACCATCTTTGGAGCTTGTTGCCTCTTCAGCCACGCTGCCAGGGCCTGCTGCTTCATCTTCATCATCACCATCCAGAGCTTCACCTCCTGAAGAGTAGCTGTCTTCTGGAAGGTCTGAGCTTAACTCAGAACCTAGGGATAAAAAAAGAAAGAAAGAAAAGAAGGGGGGAAAAAAAATCAAGAATTGTTTGTAGTAAGAATCAATCAGCAATGCCATTTGCTCCACATGTAAATGTTATCCAAGTTCAGAGCGAGGAATTACTGTACATATGCTGTTACAATTAGTTCCTCAAGCAGGCACACACCATTATACTGAATTTATTAGAGACTATGCAGTGTAAGTGCTTCTGCACGTCAGTGATGATTTAAAATTATTATAAGAGGCTGGGCTAAAGGGATAAGGCAGCCTTGGATATTTATTATTAGATTATTGAATATTTTTATGTTTAGGGCTGGTAATTATGGGGGTACAACCTGTCTATTTTCCAGTTAAAAAAGTGTAACTTATGAATAACTATCCACACAAATATGCGTGTATATACATACACACTCACAGAGAAACTGCAACAGTGACATCTGGTGTTTGAGTGCAAACAGCCACAGGAATTAAACTGAAGCTGGGGGGCATTTCTCACATAACAGCAAAACCTGCTCAGAGAGAACACCACCAGCAAAAGTACAATTACCTAAGTATAATGAACCCAGGGGAGACTGCTTTATGAAATACAGCATCAAGACAGTCATTAGGAAGCTCAAAAGAAAGCAGAGGCACTGAACTTTTCTGGGGTAACTTCTCAAGTTAAACAAACAAAACACCCCCATTTCCTTACCCCTATGAGCCCTTCAAAAAGAAGGAACTGAAGTTACAACACCGAAGTTCAGAATTAAGCAACATTAATTCTACTGAAAACAGCCAAATTGATGGCACAACAAATACATGAAGACTTAGTCCTCATTACTCTGTTCAGTGGGTCAAACTGCAAAAATAGAAGTCTTTAATAGTGCACATGATTAACTAGAATGAAATGGGCTGCAGGCTTAGGGTGTGCTAAAATACGCTCGGTTATTTCACTTCACCACATAATCAAGAGCAGAGCATACACAAGATCCGGCCACCATTAACTACTACTCCACTAATATTTATGCCACATTAAATTTTAAATTAATTATATTATATACAGCTTTCAAGGCTGCAAAATCAAGTGCTGAACAGAAGGAGGCTTGTTTCTGATCCCACCCAACCCCACCAGCAAGGGACTGATTCCCCACTTGACTCACTTTTATCCATCTACCACTCTCAAACTCCTAAAAAAAGAAAATTTGAATTTTAAATCACAGTCCTACTGAGCCAAGTGTTTTACTTTTACTATAGCACTCCTATATCCCATGCAGTACTTCTATGTGCTTTACAAGATCTGTTCTCCATAAAACCATGCAGGCAGCTATTAATGGTATTCCCCATTAATCAACTGTCTATTTAATTACTAAGCAAACATAAACATACACTCTGTTGCCACACTAATTCATTATTCTGCTTTCTCCATGTGCCTGCTTAAACCAGAAAAAAAAATGAACAAAGAACACAGAAAAACAGTGGCATTGAGCAATTTAAAACAAAACCTCTAGTGCCCAGGCATGTTCAGAGTCTTGGGGAGCATTTAGTTATCCTGATGGACAGCAGTAAGAAGTCTATGGTTACAAAACAAACGTGGAAGAGTACTTACTATAAACTGGAAATTTAGAAGTGGCAAATTTTCTCAAGACATTCAGTAACTACTTAAAGGCATCCTTTTCTATATTGGTGTGTCTCCACATCCTGAGTTGCGAATAAAAAAAATAAAATAATTCAAACTATTGCCTGTGAAGAAAAAAGTGCATCACCACATCCTAGCTGCTACATGTCAAATTTTCACCCATGGGCTTTGTCCATGCTAGGATGTTGCTACTAAGCTTTTCAACAAGGAATCAACCCCTGATTGTGATTTTATTTGCACACACAAAAGCTTACAACTACAAAAAGTCCAAACTTGAATGCCCCACACTGCTTAGGACCAACTTTTGCAGTCAGCCATAAAATACAGATCAGACTTATAAAAAGGAAGTTTGCAAAAGTATGTATCATTTCCTTCACACAACATCTTCTGCCAATAAAATAGGAGAATAATACCAACACAATTTGACTTTCAACAATTACAGAAAAATTAACAAGGTGTCCACTATCAGCCATAATTTATTCTTTAATTCATCACAGTATCAATCAACAGCATGAGATAAAGAAGAGGTATTTCAAATTAATTTAAAACAGATTAACTTAATCAGATGTAGGACCTGGGGCCCTATTCTGAATTGAAAAGACTGATATCTGGCATAGATTTAATATAAAAAGTTCTAATTGTTTCTGTGTGAGTGTGTGTTGTGTGTGAAATACATATACACATCTCTCTGCTTAACTTTTTCAAACTCGCTCAGTGATCAAGGTGTAGGCACACAAGTAAAATACAGCAAACATTCAGCAATGAACTCCTGAAGAAGTTCCCACACAACGCTACCCTTTGGGTTCAATTTTGGCGCTCAAACCAAGCAGAACCAACGCGAGCAAAGGGCCACAACCCTCAATTCTCCGAGAATAAAGAAAAAAAATAAAAAAAGAGATCCCAGTACAGGACAGAATTAAGAAGTCATCACAACTGGTTAGGTACACCCTCACAACGCGCAAGGAGGCGAGAACGAGTGGAGAACCGCGCGTTAAGGGTAAATCACTGGAACGAGAGAGTCCCAGGGGTTTCCTTCGGAGAGAAGCAGATCCCGGTCTCGCACAGACACAGAACTCGTGCAGCTCTGCAGAGTCATTCCCTCCCTCCCCCGAGAAAGAGGGCAGCGAAAGCTGTTTTGGGTTACCTAGGGAATTAAGGAGTTGTTGGCGGTACACCCCGGGCTGAGAGGGAAAAGCCCAAAGGGTCAGCGCAGGGGGGCAGGAGCAGCCACAGCACCGGGCAGTGCCAGCCATGGGACACGCCGCTGGGGAGCGGCCTCAGCAGGTGAGCGGGCGGGGGCCTGAGCCCCCGATCCCCACGCAGACCGGCGCCGGCCCAAGGCCCAAGGCCCGGAGCCGGGGGGATGAAGGGCCACGGAGCCACCGGAGGGCTCAGACGGGGCAGAGAGGAAAGGCCTTCAAGGTCAGAGATGGCGCACAGCGGCGGCCGGCCATGCTTCAGAAGAAGAGAGGGGCCCACCCCGTTCCCGCTGGCGTTACCGCT